AGGAGGCAGGCTGGACCAGGACCCCTGGCTCTGAGCATCTTCCCAACTCTCAGCACCCTCTGGGCCCAGGTGCAGCCCCAAATAGGGGGTAGTCCCTCTGCTCACCCCCATCTGCCCTGCTGCAGGGGTCCCTGGGGGACAATTCCTGCGTGCCCCTGTCTTGTCTCTGCCTCATCCTCCGGCCGCCTCTCTCCCCTCTTCTGGCTTCTCCTGCAGGGCAGTGCCCAGCTGGGGAGGGGGTGCCAGCGCCTATGCAGTGCTTGCGCACATATCCTCGGCTCTCGCTCCTGTTGCGCACAGATCCCCAGTGCACCGAGCCGCGGATTGCTCAGGCCTGGCAGCTGCTCTCATGCTGCTCTCCAGTGGGAACCTCCGTTTTGTAGCACAGCTTTCCCTTCCCGAAGGGTCCCTGGGCCTGGGAGTGGTCCTCAGCAGCCCCAGGTGGGCTAACCCCAGCCCAGCCAAAGGTACGAGCTGATATGGATCCACAGGGGGAACTGGGCTCTGAGGGCTACGTGGAAAATCCCAGCCACGCATTTATCTGCGAGGCTCCCGCGGGGCTGGGCCGGGCTGGGACATGGCGTTCGAGGTGCAGGGAGGGACGCTTGCATAAGACCGACTGCTTTGGCTGCAGCTGAGTCTTCCCAGATGGGCTCCTGGCATGCAGAGCCCAGCGAGGAGACAGCAGGAACCTGCAGAGTTGCGGGGTGTCTCCCCACACACCCCTGACCCTTGGGTGGACCTCCAAACCCTTCTGCTCTCCCCGTGCGGCTCCGAACATCCTCCCAGGCAGCTGCTTGCCCTATGCATGCTGCATGGAGCATCAGCTAGCATGCACTCCCCCGCTCTGCAACAAAAAGTCCCCCAACCTCTTTTCTCCATCATGCCCCTGATCTGAGCCAGGCTCCTGGCTGGCGGGAGCCCTGGAAGCTCAGCCTGTCCCAGCGGGGTGGGAGAAGAGGGCTGCATCCTCATCCTATCTCCCTTTCTCTCCCCTTCCCGCTTCCATCCTCACCTCATCTCCATCCCTGTCCTCATTCCCATCTCTGTCCCCATCCTCATCCCCCCCTCACCCCCACTCCCATCCTCATCCTACCCACATCCCCACCCCGTCCCATCCCCATCCCCGATTCCGTATCCTTCCCCATCCCCATCCTATCCCATCCCATCCCCAGCCCCATCCCCCC